GCGTATACATACACGCATAAATAGTGCAATAGTATACTATACCACATCATAAATGTATACATATGTATGTGCCCGGGGTGCCCGTGCCCTTTGGGCAAGGCGCAAGAGGCCGTAGCCTCAGACCGTGTGGGTGCAGAAGCTCTGGATGACATAGTTCACGAACTAGAACAAACTCAGATGAAGTAGTACACGAACTAGAAACATGTACATCACTCCAACACGCACACGCGCTGGGTCCCGCAAGGTTCTCGAAATCGATCGGTGCGCGGAATTCGCCGTCGTTGTCGCCGTCGCCGTCGCCGTCGCCGTCGCCGTTGTTTCCTTCTTCTTTCTTCTTTCTTCCTCCTTCAGTCCCCCTCCTCCCAGCTCCTCCGCCGCCCAGGGGCCTCCAGGAGGCCCCACCACGCTTCCAAGAGCACTCCCGAGAGGGCCCCAAGAGACCAAATTCATAGAATTTCGGATAGTTTGTAAAGAGATGTGGCCGTTCTCGCCTGTTCCACTTCCTGCCGCTCCAAAGCGGCGCAAGAAGATCGCCCCAAGACGGCCCAAGAGGCCTCCAAGTGGGCCCCAAACCAGCCCAAAGGACCCCAAGACAATCCAACACGCCTCCAAGACTGCCCAAAATGCCCCCAAGACGGCTCCAAGAGCGTGCCCAAACTGAGGACCCGAACGGACATCTCGAGCCCTCGGCTCCACGAGACTCCCAGAAGGCCCCAAGAGGTTCCCAAGAGGCCCCACGAGGCCTACAAAAGGTCCCCAGGAAGTCCGAAGAGGCCCCCAAGAAGCCCCTAAGAGGCCCACAAGAGGCCCAGAGGCTACCAACAGGCCCCAAAATTCCTCCTCAGACGCTCCCGAGAGAGACCCCAAGAACCATCCCTGAGGACTCTGGCCCCCGTCAGCGTCGTCGCTGTTGCCGCCGCCGTTGTCGTCGTCGTCGTCGTTGTCTCCCTTCAGGGTCGGCGGCACTGGCCGTAAGGCCTTCGCAATGCTCGATCCCACTCAGCGAGCGTCAAAAGCACGCCGCGAGAAAACGCGGCCAGAATCTCGGCACCGTCCTGCTGCCCCATTCTTCGAGCCAGGTCGATCCCGCGGTCAAAGCATGTGTGCTCCTCTCCTTCGTGGCAGTCTCGGTCCATCTGGCTTTCGGGTCACAACTCGGGTCTCCAAAAGCCGTTACCGACGATGTGGAACGCTCTCGGAGAGGCGCAGCTGCTGGAACGCATCCTAGGGCGAAGAACCCTCCAAGAGCCACGACAAAACCACAACATCCCATTCCCTCAGAACTGCCGTGTCCCTTGACGGTGAAGACGCGCCCCCTCAGGACCCCTTACTCCCTTCACCGTCATGGCGAGACAACGACGAACCAGTCGGGGGGGGGGAAACAAAGGCACACTGATGGGCGCGGCGGTAATCTCCAAAGTCCCGAGAAGGGCGCGAAGCCCTCCGTGTGGGGGGTCGCGAAGCCAGAAACAAGTTCGGGGCCTGGAAAGGTACACCAACACTAAGACAAGGGGTTGCCTCCACAGGGGGGGGGGATGCTCCTGGATTGTGGTCCTGGTGGTCATGTCCTGGCCACCCAAAAAACCTGGATGTTACCACCATCACCGAGATCAGGATCTTACCTCCGTGGAAGCAACCACCGATACAGGTGCTGGTGCCAACCTCTAGGCCGCCGAGAAAAAAAAGAGCGGTGGCGTGAGCCAAAAGGCTGCGCGTGCGGGCTCGCTGGGCTCATTCGGCCCTAGGGCGCGCCTACGGGCGAGAGGGGTTGGAGAGGGAACGAGGAAGACGTCTGCTCTTCCACCTCCTTCTCCCTCCTCTTCCTCCTCATCCTTAGCAACGTCTCGCTTCTCCATTGACGGCGGCTCCTTCCCAGACCCTCCCCCCCTGCTTCTCCTCCCCCCCTGCCCTCTCTCTTCCCCCCCCTTCCTCTCCTCTTTGCCCTTCTCCGCGTCTTCCTCCCATTTTGCATTCCCAGCAAGTTTGCGTCCGAGCTCCCCGCCGCACAGCACGCGCGTGCGTTCCGAGCGCCAACTTCGACATGGCTTTGCGCTCGAGGGTCCCCACAGAGACGTGTCGCCCAACATTATCAGCTACAATGCTGAGATCAAGCGCGCGCAAGACAGCTAAGAGGTGTACCCTCATCCGTCCTCTCCCTCTCATCCCCACTCTTTTGCCCCCCCCCCCCCCCCCTCCGCCACCCCCTGGCGAATAGCGACCGCCGATGTGTGGCCGCTGCAGCAGTGCAGGATTCCACTCTCAAGGATAGCGCTCATCAGCTTCGGCACTCGGATCAGCGCATGCAGCGCTTGTCGAGGCCCGCTGGGAAAGCAACAGCCAAACGTCACTAGCTACATTAAGGCTCTGGTCAGCTCGTGCGAGAAGGCAGGCAATGGCAGCACGGACTGCAAATTCGAGAAGGCCCGCAGTGGCGGCAGGTGGATTATCTTACTCTTGTTGTTGTTAGAACGAGGAGCAGGAGCTAACCAACATCGGCTACAATGCTGGGAACGGCTTTTGCGACAAAGAAGTCAGTGGCAGCCGGGGCTGCGGGTGCGAGAAGGCAGGCAATGGCAGCAAAACGAGCTACACGTCATCATCGACAATGCTGCTGGGACCAGCTCGTGCGAGAAGCCAGGCAGTGACAGCGTAGGCTTTCGGTGAGAGAATGCAGGCAGTGGCAGTGGTTGCTGACGGTGCAAGAAGGCAGACAGTGGCCGCACGAATGAGCCACACATCATCAGTTACAACGCTGCTAGGGCCAGATTGTGCGAGAAGCCAGACGTTGGTGCGAGAAAGCAGGCAGCGGCAGCAGCGGTTGCCAGTGCGGAAGGCCCGCAGTGGCCGCAGGAACAAAGTACACGTCGTTTGCTACAATGCGAGAAGCGAGGCAAGGGCCGACATCATCAGCTACAGCGCTGTGTGCCGACTGTGCTACAAAAGCGAGCCCGCGCAGGCCAGTGTCACCAGCTACAGGGCATGGACCAATTCGGGTGGGTACGGCCAGAACGCGCGAGCCAACGTCATCAGCGACAATTCTGGGACCAGGTCGCGCGGGACACACCAAACCGAGGAGCAGTTCGTGCACGACGGTTGGCTGTGTCAGCAAGTTTCGTCAAGGGGTGAAGGGCAAGCAGTGCCAGCAGGAAGGGAAGTGGAGGACGAAGATAGAGCCCGAGAAGGCCACCTACAGAACGGGGATCAGGGCACGCGCGAATCTGGAAGTGAAGCTGGAGCCCGATGGCAACAGCGCGTGCGAGAAGGGCGAGCCGGGGCAGCAGCCGCTACCGCCCCCCAGCGAGACGCGGGATGCAAAGCTTGAGCCCGAGGTCATCATCTACAGTGCTGGGATCAAGGCGTGGAAGGCAACGCTAGAGCCCGAGGTCATCGGCTACAGCGCTGGGATCAGGATGCGCAAGAAAAGCGGAGAGCTCATCATCCGTGACCAAGCAGGAATCAGCTCGAGCGAACAGGAGAGGCGAAGCATCATGGGCTACAATACTGGAGAGTTCGTTCATGCACGAAATGACCGAGGGTGCAAGGCTTGCAAGACAGGCCACGGGATGGAGAGCTCAGGTCGGCATCCACCTCAAGCAGAGCTCCTTTGAGGCAGCCCCACGTCGCCCAGGATAGGCGTCGGGATGGGAGAGCCCTCTTCCGCTGGCTCCATGTACAATATGCACGATGTAAAATGGAGCAGTCCAGCAAACTGAATCCCAGCTAGATCCGGCCCTGTCCTCCTGTCCTTCTCCTTTTGGCATGGAGTTAGTTAGCGGATCCTGAGGGAAGCAGGTCCTGGCCCCTGGGGCCTTCCCAAGACCATTCCTTCATCCCGAATTGTTTTCTGACGGCCCCGGGGCCCGGGGAGGGCTCCAGAAGCCCGAAAACAGCCCCAAACCCCTGGGTCCATTTCCCTCTGACTCCTTTCTCTCATGGCGATCCTTGCCCCCCCCCCAAACCTTCTGCCCCCTCTTCCCCCCTATCCCTTCTACTTCCCACGCTCTTTCAGGCTCGCTCCCCCCCGCCACCCCTATGGAAACGCACGGCTTCGGCTGTGCGTACCAAGGCGGCGCCCAGCGGGCGGTGGAGGCGACGGCACCGACGACGACGCGAGATGACATAGTTAGCGACTGTGGCCTAGCGGGCCGCCATCGCGACAGGCTACATTGTAAACGAGGGCGCTCAGAGACACGCCATCTGACGCAGGCAGCTTGCGCGCGAATGTCGGCGTAATCGGCCCTGCTTTCTTCCGTCGCTCGCCTGTGATTTGCATCACTTTTTGATCTCGCCTGCGGTGGCGACGATGGCGACGACGATGATGAGGGCGAGGGCGACCACGCGGGCACTGCGGGGTGGCGGGCGAAGCAGGGATACGCCATCTGTACATTTACGCCGGCCTTGGTTCGGGGACGCAATGAAGTCAGCCCAAGCCTGGGTCGGCCAAGGCCCCGTCGCGGAGCCCGGCCCGCCGCTCAGTAGCACACACACCCTGATCGACGGGCCAGCGGAGGGCGGAAAGGGGGAATCGGCCCCACGTGGCTCCAGAGCTCCAGTCAGCCAGAAAGAACTGACTGATCCGCGCTAGCGCTGACACTGACACGACCACCCTCGTCCCGGCGATGACGTGCGACTACGTCCTCTTGGCATGGCCAAGACAGCAAGATGCACCAATCTCGAGCCGGACGGGCCCAGACACCTCGCAATTCCGACGCAACGCGTAAGCGCACGCGAGGACGAAAGCGGCAGCGGCGGCCTGGACGACGACGAGGAGGAGGAGGAGGAGGAGGAGGACGACGACGACAGCGGCGACGACGACGACGACAGCGGGCGACGACGACGACGATGACAGCGGCGACGACGATACCAGCGACGAGCGACGACGCGAGGACGGTGAGGAAGTCGACGGCCACGAAGGAAGGGCAGTGGCGACGACGATGACTGCCCCGGCGGCGGTGGCGACAAGGGTGATGGCGACGGCGGCTAAGGCCCCGCAGGGTGGCGGACAGCGGCCGCACGAGCGGCGGCTGCGCAAGCGGTGGTGGCGGGTGGCACGGGTCGTCGAAAAACGGGTCGAACGCCTGCTTGGCCGGAAGGGCGGAGTCCGCCACCTCGCGAGGCCCACGTCGTCGTGGTCATCGCCCTCGCCGCCGTCGTCGCCTTCGCTGTTGCACCGTCAGGGGGCGCCGAGGAACCGAAGCGGCCGTCATCGCTCCTCCAGCGACGAGGGGCGGGAAAAAAGGGAGGGAAGTTCGGCACGGTTCGGGATCCGCGGGTGCCTTTGCACACGAAGGGTTGCGCCCGACACCCGTGCGTCGTTTTTGCGACGCTGCCTGGGCTCTTGGGCTCGGCGAGCGCTGCCCATGCGCGCGGCCCGCCACCCTGGCGCGCACCCGAACGGAGGAAATGGCTGCCGCCCAAATGGCGAACGACCAAATTGGGTCGGATGGGAAGACCGCGCCGCATCGCCGATGTATCGGCAATGCGAAGACGACGTCGGGATGAAGACGACGTGGCTCTGGATCGAGCCGCGTCGCCAATACATCGACGATGCGGCGCGGTGGTCCTCCGACTCCATCTACTCGGCCCCCATGCGGACGGCCTGTAACAATGAGGAATAACAGCGAGATAACGCCAGACATCCCGACCAGTGGCAGCAATGAAGACGGATGACCTACGAGCGCGGTGTTTTCTCTGACCTGTGCTGCATCTGAACACGAGAAGGGTAGTCTGGGGCAAGCGTCAAATGACCCTTTCATCGATCCCGGCTTGGCCCATCCTTGGCCAAGGGTCGGTGCATGCAACTTCCTGGCTGGGCGAAGAAGACGTATGCACCAACCCTGGGCCCAAGATTGGCCTGTCAACGAAGTGATCACTTAACGCCCTCCGCGAGGAGGAGGGAAGGTGTCTACCTGTTTCTACTCCGCCCCTTCTCCATTTTTCTTGCACCTGCGCCAAGCCCGCACAACCACCCAATAACCTCAGAACACACCCGGAAACAACCGCGAGCTTCCAAAACCGCGAGCTTCCAAAACCGTCGATGAAACAATTCGAATGCAAGTTTAGCTGACACTCTGTAGCGGGTGCTCGCTCGTGCCTCTCCAGTCACAATTAAGTTGACTGTTGCATCGCGTGCGAATGGACATGCCATCCTTGCTCGCATATTTGGAACAGGCATATCCACGATTCTCATGGGCACCTATCGAGATCACTTGGATTTCTCCTCGTCGTATTTGTTCCTGTGACCAAAACTGACGGACGTCGCCGTGCCAGACTTTCCCTACCCCGCCTGGTGCCAACGGTAATGGCCGCTTAAACATCGTTTGTGTAAGGTGGTGACACAATCCGCGGTGAAATCCATGATAACTGTGTGGTCCCAACGCTGCTGACCCACCCTTCACCATTCCGTAACATTTTGCCTCTCCGGACAATAGCACCACCAAGCTCCGAATCGAACCTGGTTGTCGGTAGGGCGGGCTTTTTCGACTCAGTTGACTATATCGGCGTTCGATTGCCCATTCCAGCCAGCATCCCTCCCAATTATCAGCATCAGCATCGTCATCATAATAATCAGCATCATCACCATCGTCAGCTTCATCATCCTCATCACCACCTCCGCTGCCTCGCATTACCCTCATCAAGCATCACCGTCGGCATCGTCATCATCCGAGATCGCCAGAAGAGCGCCGACCTTCGGCGGAGGCTGAGGGGAGGCTGACGGCAAGGACCTGGGACATTTGTGAACCATCCGCAATTCATACTGTCCCAGCCAGGCCAGAATCGCATTGAGCCTAATCGGTGAGACCACCCATCACAAGATCGTCCCGAGATGCTTCTGCCAACGCCGCCATCAGTCAAGTCAGGGAGATGCGCTGGGACCTCGGCCGATGCCGCGGCCCACTAAGCGACCCAGGCGAAATATGTTAGCCAGCGTGGGCCCAAAACAATAGGTGTTTGCGGTCTACGCGGTGCAATCTCGTGGTGCAATGGGCTAGAGCACCGCGCTCGACCACCTCCCACGCTCTTGCTAACATCCCACCCACCCACCGCAACTTGGTTTGCAAAGCCGCGCGGTGGCGATTGCGATGAACGCTTGGCGTTGGCCGGTGCATCTCCGCGGCCGCGCCAACCCATGCACGCGCGCATGGCGGCCAACTAGTTTGGCGCGAACGACGCGGCCGCGGTTGGCACATCCCAGTGGACACTTCAGTGCGAGTCGGCGACTTGGACAGGCGCGGCGCCATGGCAACGTCGACAACGGTGGACACGATGATAATAGTAGCGGTGCTGGCGAAGATGTCGACATCGACGAAGGCGCGGCCAGCGCGGGCGCAGATGCTGATCACGCCGACGACGATGACGGCGTCTTCGCGTCGGCGATGCAGGTTTTGGAAAGAGTTCGACATGCGCGCGCGGCAGACTCAGGGGCCGAAAAAAAACACGAGAAAACGAACCAGGGTCCGAGAAAACAGAACTACGACCCAGGGACCAAGAAAACGAGAAAACGAGAAAACAAACCAGCGTCCGAGAAACGAGACCACGACCCAAGGCCCGAGGACACGAGAAAACGAACCATGGTCCAAGAAAACTGGACCACGGCCCAGGGGCCGAGAACACAAGAAACGAAAACACGAACCAGGGTAGGAGAAAACGAGATCACGACCCAAGGGCCGAGAAAACAAGAAAACGAACAAGGGTAAGAGAAAACGAAACTACGATCCAGGGGCCAAGAAAACTAGAAAACGAGAAAACGAACCATGGCCCGAGAAAACCAAACCACGACCCCGGGGCAAAGAAAGTAAGCACACGAGAAACCGAAACAGGGCCCGAGAAAACAAGACCACGACCCAGGGGCCGAGAAAACGAGAAAACGAGACAACGAAACGGGGTCAGAGAAAACGAGACCACGACCAAGGGGCAGAGCAACAGCGCGAAAACGATAAACCAAACCAGGGTCCGAGAGAAGTGGACCACGCCCGAGAAACCGAGACCACGACCGAGGGGCCGAGAAAACGAGAAAACGTGAAACGAACCAGGGTCCGAGAAAACCAAACCACGACCCAGGGGCAGAGAAAGCAAGAAAACGAGAAAACGAACCATCGTCCGAGAAACAAAACCACGACCCAGTGGGCCGAGAAAACGCGGAAACGAGAAAACTAACCAAGGTCAGACAAAAACAAAACCACAATCCAGGGGCCGAGAAATGGAGACACGAGAATCCGAACCAGGGTCCGAGAAAATGGGACCACGATCCAGGGGCCGAGAAAAGAAAAACTAACCAGGGTCAGAGAAAACGAGACCACGACCCAGGGGCAGAGAAAACAAGAAAACGAGACCACGAAACAGGGCCCGAGAAAACGACACAAACACCCAGAAACCGAGAAAACGAAACAACGAGCCAGGGTCCGAGAAAACGTGACAATGACCCAAGGCCGAGAACACGAGAAAACAACAAAACGAACCAAAGTCGGAGCAAACGAGACCACGACCCAAGGGCACAGAAAACAAGAAAACAAACCAGGGTCCGAGAAATCACGACCACGACCCAGGGGTCGAGAAAATGAGAAAACGATAAAAGGAATCAGGGCCCGAGAAAACGAAACTACGAACCAATACCAAAGAAACCAAGAAAACGAGAAAACGAACCAGCGACCGAGATAACGGAACCACGACACAGGGGCCGAGAAAACAAAAGACGAGAAAACGAACCAGGCCCCGAGAAAACGAAACCACGACCCAAGGCCTGAGGAAACGAAAACGCGAAAACGACCCACGACCCAGGGGCCGAGAAAACGAGAAAACGAGAATACGAACCAGGGTCCGACGAAACCACGACCCAGGGGCCAGATTCACCAGAGAAAGCTTGGTCCGAGAAAACGAGACCACGACCCAGGAGCCGAGAAAACGAGAAAATGAGGAAACGACACAACGAACCAGGGTCCGAGAAAACGAGACCACCACCAGGGGGCCGAGAAAAAGAGAAAACATGAAAACAAACCAACGTCCGAAAACAAAACCACGACCCAAGGCCGAGAAAACGATAAAAATAGGCAGGGTCGGAGAAAACGAGACCACGACCCAGGGGCTGAGAAAACGAGAAAACGATAACACGAACCAGGGTCAGAGAAAACGAGACCGCGACCCAGGGGCCGAAAACACGAGAAAACAAGAAAACAAACCAGGGGCCGAGAAAACGACAAAACCATAAAAAGAAATCAGGGCCCGAGAAAACGAGACTACGAAACAGGGGCCGGAAAAAAACAAGAAAATAAGAACACGAACCAGGGGTTGACGTTATTCTCCAATGCGTTCTCTAGCGCTGCGGTGCGCACCTGTGTGCAAGGATTCAGCCATTTTGCCATAAACCCGGAAGGGCGGGGGTAGTTTCGGACCCCCCCCCCACCTTTGCAGAAGAGGGTGGCGGGGAGTAGGTTGAAGCCGCCCCCCTCATGTGTCCAGACCAAAAAGGAAGGAGGGGGGCGAAGCCCTCCCCCTTTGAAAGGGAAGCCTGGGCTCACCTTCTGCTCCCGAAAAGGGAAGAGGGGGGGAATAGTTTCGAAGCCCCCCCCCCTTTAGCCAGGGCCCCCTAGCTTAGAAACCCTTGCAAAAAGGAGGGGGGTAGCTTCGGAAACCCTTCATTTTTCAAAGGAAAAAGGGGGGCGGGTAGCTTGAAGCTGGGACCCCCATTTCCTTATTCCCGGCGCTGCGGGCGCGGCTTTTCTCACATGTAAATTCGAACACGGAAGAAGGGAACCGATTCTCTTTTCAGAAAGAAGAAATCATGCGGTGCAAGCTCTTTGGGGCAATCTGTGCGGGCCGCGACGAAGCGGCGACGTGGCGGCGACGAAGCGGCGACGGGGCGGCGACGGGCGGCGCCGCGCGGAGAAGCCGGGACTGGGGCCAAAGCGACGGGCGGCGACAAGACGACGACGGGGCGGCGACGGGCGGCGCCGCCCGGAAAAGCCGGGGCTGGTCTCCAGATGGTCATGACAAGTAAGAACCC